TATGTACGTACGTAGGTATGTACGATGTGGGTAAGTAGACATGTAGGATCATGTAGGTATGTAGGTACGTATAGGTGTGTAGGTGTGTATAGGTATGTAAGTATGTAGATTTGTGCGTATGTCTCTCTCTCTCTCTGTGTGTGTGTGTGCATGTGCGTACGTGCGTATTTGAGTATGTTTGCGTGTCGCATGCATGTATGTAAATATGCATGTAACGTGCGAGTATGTAACCATGCTTCTACGAGAACTGACAATCCCGCACCCGAAGGAAGCATCCTGTGAGTAGCGGGGGGCTTCGGATACTCCAGCGACACCTATCTCGCGATGCTGACAACCTGGATGGTGCCCACCAAATCAAAGATCCGCAGAACAAAACTCTGTTTACTAGCAGGCCTTTCTTCGGCTGTGCAAGTTTGAGGAGAAGCATCATAACTCAGCTGTGGCCTCAGGGGTGCGGTTCAAGGGTTGCATGCCCTGCATGTCCTTTCGCCGCATGGACCGATCTAACAAAAGATAGATGGCATCAGCTCATCGGGAGTGGGTTTGGAGACTTGGGTTGGCGCAGAGCCGGAAGAATACAAAAGTATGCTCAGCTGCGGAAGCCGGCAAAGTTTGTGTGGTTGCCCAGGCACCCGAGCAGCATGCGACGAGCCAGATATGTAACCCAGTAGCAAACCGCAAGTGTGTGTATACCGAAAACGCATGTAAGTGTTTGTTTTTGTCTGGCCATCTCGGAAGCAATCTGCACATCTGGACTTCATGTACAAACGCACGCGTGAGCACGTGAGTGTGCTGCAATACATGTGCATTATATGATGAATATGCACAGCATATATGTACGTGCAACCGACAATGAGACAATGCCTGAGTGCCACCGTGCCACTTCTACACTACCAAGGCTCGAGCACGATCCGTGCAGCTGGCATGTTGGGGTGACAACAAAGCGGTCAGATCCCAATTGCGAATATGATTTCTTTGTTGCCGGCATTGATACGTTTGCCCCAGCGTCGTATTCCAGCGACATACCGCAAGTGCCATTCCACTTCTTCCAGCATTCAGATAAGGTAGGTTCCAGGTCGAAGTTTGGGAGGGCAGAAGCCTCCAAAGTCGAGGAGTGTCCAGGAACGCGGATGCTGGAACTGCTATCAGCGAGTGGGACGAAGGGCTCAGGGCTTTAGTTGTTGAGGCTGAAGGGATTCAAGGCTGCGGGCTCTGAGTGGGGTCAGGCCTGTCAAGCAGTTGCTGTGGCGGTGTCAGGGGCATGTGAGATCCGGGCGGTGTGATGGTGTAGGATGAGACAGGCTGGCTGGGTTGGTCCAGAATCTTTTCTTTCGTCTGGAGGCTAGCAGCAGTCCCAATCTCTTGGCTTCCAGAGTCTTCATGCCGAGGTCCTAAGCGTTCCGAAGCGCAATCCAGACGCATAACATGAAATGAAGCCAGGGCTTCGAAAAAGCCGTCGAGCTCTTGGGCAACGAGCTGGATGAGAAGCCGAAGACCTGGACTTGCTCGGAGTGAGAGAAGCGGTTGAGGCTCTCAGGATCTCTCAGGCTCGTTTCTAACACCATTGCACTCGTTGAATCGGTTTGGGAGTGGAGCCGATCGGATGTTGATTCGAGCTGCTCGCTTGTAGGCACAGACCTGGAGTCTGGCTGAAGCCAGGAGGAAGGGAGCAGGAAGATGCGGAGGTCCAGGAGCTGGGTCGGGTTGGGGTTGTGGGCAAGGACGCCTTTCCAGCCCCGCCCAGAGAAAGGCCTGCAGGTGTCAGAAACAGCGAGGGGAAAGTTGAGGAAACGCACCAGGGGAGCTCGCTTTAGGGGCGCAAGGATTCTGTAGCCTCGGAGCCGATGACATTTTCGAAACGCTGAGCTCGGCCCCGGGATTTCCTTTCCGCCCAGGTTTTACATCAAGTTTGCTCAGTTTGAGCAGCGGCAGAGGGAGATGGAGCGCGCACAGGCGCCACTTAACGGACATAGGACGCAGGCACCAACGATCTATCATACTTGATGGCATGGAAATCTTACCGTTATACCTCTCCGTAGCAACAGTTGCTTCGGACATTGTTATGTGACGAATACCAGGGTTGTCTAGCATAAGTTGTCAGTTGTGTTCTTTTGTAAATGTGGCCCTTGCGCGCAGTAACCTGTTCTAGTCTTCGCATGCCGATGCCGCAGACTTGGGAAGTTCGAAACCATTCGACCCCGATATACGACCCCGATGTACAGTTGAAGCCTTCTCGGCTGTAGAGGTGGCTGGGAAAGAAGAGGGCTTGCAGGTTTGGGAGTCCTAGCGTTGGGATTTCGGATCGACTGCTCCTTTCGAGCTGCCGGGATGGACGTCTCGTGTCCGGCAAGACCCGCGCCTCCCCAACTGGAACCGTGCAGCCCAACTCCGAAACTTTACAATCCAGAACACCAAAACTGTGGGGTTGGGTGCAGCTAAAACGGGTTCGGGTTTGGCTTAGAGTTTCGAGTTCGGGGTTCCTGGCTGTGGGCGTTTGGGCTTGGGAATCTCGATTACAGTGGTTTGCGGCCCCCACACATTGAAATACTGAAGTGGCCCGAGGTTTTCTGCGCACCTAGACAACAGGCCCCGTGCAGGAAATCGTATCGACTGCACAAGGTCGTTTCGTATGTGTAAGTCCGTGGATGTGCCATTTTGGGTGACCCACAAGCCTGAACTCCTCCACTTGTAGGCCATCTACAAGCTCGCCTTGGATGTGCTGCCGAAAGGCGCTTTGATCAGATGCCTGACAAGCCTGGATCAGAGGTACTGCGTGAGAATAAACTCAGAAACTAGCGGTAGTGTTCCTTCAGGTGGCGTGTTTCGTCGTCAGGCTTGCGGGTTCTGGTTCTACAGTATGGCCTAGTGCAACAGCTTTCGGGTGTTGAGCCTAAGATGTAGATGTAGGGACCAGGATCTTCCGCACTCCAGGTTCTCAATGGTTCAGTGCTGACTCCCAGATCTCCGAAATCCAGAAGCTTACGATTACCACCCCAAATCCGAAGCACTTGATGGGAAAAGCCTGGAGCTCTATCCTCTTGGCGTCAATCATACATAGCTACGCCCTGTGTTAGACCTCTTGAATTCCTGTATGGCTAACATGGGCATGCCCAAGATTTGGGTATCGTTTTCCGTCGCTGAGATCCCAGGGCATGAACAGCTGGAGCCGTGTTCCAAGAACTGTATAGTTGCATTTTGTTTGACAGCACTCTGCTGGGAGGTAACGTTCACCAGGCCAGTCGAATCAGTCTTTTCGGCGGTGCTTTCTTGCAGACTGAGACACGCACCTACTCCGAAAAGCCCAGCTCGACTTCCAGGTGCCAGCGATGATCTGTACCGCGCATACGTTTCCTTCGAGAAGCAGCATGGCGATCGGGACGCGATTGAGGAGGCTGCAATTACCTGGCATGCAGCATGCAGGTCTTGATAGTGTCGGGTTTGAAAGCTACTGCAAGCTCTCGCCGCTTGTGATGTCGTAGTTCCGAAGCAATGCTCGGTAGGAAGTGAAGGCCTGAGGTGTTCATCGGTTCAGGGTTTTAGGCTTTGGTTTTTAAGTCAGGAGTCAGTTTTTCAGAGTTCAACTGCCCCTTGTGGTTCCCAAACCCCAAGCACACAAGATGCATTAGCTGTTGGCAAACTCTGGTGACATGCGGTTCGTTTCTGGGGATACAGCCATGAACAGTCACAGGCAGAAGCCAGAGCATGAGTAAATGAGCTTGAAGGCACACCATCCCTGGAGAGTAACGGGCCAGCATCAATCATGATATCACGGATTGTAAGATCGGGATCGAAGACTACTCGCGGCCAGTATTCGCGGAGGGTAGTTCAGGCCATGGTGGCTGCAAAGTATCAAATTCTAGGGATGTAGGATTCCTGCTTTTTATTCTCTGTGTGTATCGCGGCCCTTAACCCTCTGTGCCCTTGACCTTCGCCGTGCCTTTGTGAAAGCTGCGGCAGCCTCCTAAAGGTGCCTGTATACCCTTCGACCTAACTCTTGAGCTGCAATCGAGACTGCGAGCGTGTGGACTCAGCGTCTAGCGGGTTGTCCGACCCGGGCTTGGAAACGGAACTTGCGAACCGGAAGCCCGAAGCTCCAAACCTACCTCAAATGGCTAAAGCAATACACCCTTGCTTCGCCTCAGGTTGTCATCAACAAACGACGGTTCATCTACGAGGACCACCCTCTTTGCACGACTGTGCCCTGATGCCATGTCGAGTTTCTCTGATCAGTGATGGTCTAAGAAACTCCTGTAACAAAGCCCGAATGCAGCCTTCAGTTTTTCTTGTACGACCTAATGCCAGGGGATCGGCGTCCAATACCGTGTAACCCCAAACCAAGAGGTTTGAAGAGCCAACACATTGAGACAAACAAGGCTCAAGGTTCACTCACGTCCCATGATTTCGAAAGCGAGTCGACCGGTAAGTTACTAGTCTACATGTTAATGTTTCTGCTGCTGGGGTGTTGGCTGTGCATCTGTGGAGCTGTGACCCTGCGCGGCTTCGACCGAAAAGAGACTACAACACGGCCACTGCTGGTGAGAGCCAAATCGGCGTTTCTCCCAGCATTCGCCAGAATGGGACAGGTTTGGCCAGGAGCACCTACGTGTACAACAGCAACCAGCACTCCATTCTGATCCCGACGAGGCCTTTGGTGACGTTGCCGGTTGTGGCACTGCAAGCACACACGTACATCCCCGAGTTGCGAATACAGATCATGTACGGCACGGCAATTCCAACGAGGATTGCGTCCACACGCAGAATGCGCTTGTGGAACTCCAGCAGAAAGGTGTTGTCTACCTCACACCCATGTCCGACAAAGGATTTCATGCCAGCCGGTTGTCCCCCGTTGCATACTCCCAGATGCTCATGTCGCCTGAGTTTTTGGCAGCTGCTGGTTCGGGGTGGCGCAGACAGACTCATGGATCTGCAATGGGGCCCATGAGTCCCATGAGCATTTGAAAGGCTTCCTTGAGTATGATTACGTCGGTTCTCCGTGGTACATGTTCGGGGACATCTTGGGCAACGGTGGTTTGAGCCTCCGGGATCGCGAAGCGATGCTAAACATCACCAAATCATTCCGGCCAAATGGGTGGCCCGAGGATCTTTGGTTCTGCAGCCATCTGCAATCCGGCAAGCTGCCTTCCCGCGAAGTGGCAAAACTGCCAGGGAGACCTTTCAGGCACGGGAGAAGCAGAAGTCGGATCCTCCCTTGCCGAGCGTGGGCGTCCATAGCTTGTGGCTGCTACGAAGATCCGGAAACTCTTCGAGGGCCGGTGCCCGGCCGTGAGTCTCGTGATCCCCAGAGTGGGAAACAGGAGTCTTTTCCGCGGACGGTTGCCTTGCTCCAGGACAGCGATGGCATTTTGGACTCTGTCAGTCTGACAAGGATGGCCGCGATCTTCGACCATACCCTGCAGGATGCTTTTTTTTTGGACGTCCTCCGTGAAGCGCAAGCACGGCGGTGAACTCTCGCAGACGCCCCCTCGTCCTGCCGAGTTGCTGTTGAGGGGACCCCTAAAGTCAGAGGCGGAAAATGGCCTCGACTCCACACCTTCGGATCGCCCTTCCAGAAGCCAATGCAGTGCGGAGGTTTTATCTCCAGCAGGTGAGAAAAAAGTGGGCTCTCGCTGTCTGCATTGAGAAAGTTGGGATTCTGTTTCAGGGGCTCAGCCAGCAAGCGGCGGTGCCGCTCTCTAAAGCCTAAACCTGAGCCAGAAGTCGAGAAAGCCCTAGCTGGTGAAGGCACCTAAAACTGGTTGAGTCCTAGTCAAGTCTACAGGCGTAATGGTCTTCCGAGTACTGGATCAGCTTTTCAATCGGCTGCGATAGGAATCTATCGAGAAGAACCCGCGGAACTACGACGTGTGGCCCGCTTCTAAGTCTGTGCAGCATGTGTGCTCGGTTCTGAAGATGATGTCTTTGTTCGGATGGATTTCTGCTGAGTATTTGGAAGGGCATGTCTGAGGATGCATGCAGTAAGCGGAGCTTCGTATCGGCAACGAGCATCCTGAGCCGTCAACTCGAAACCACCCGGCGCCGGAGCCTCCGTTGGGGTTGACCCGGAGTCACAGCTTCGAACGCTGCCATCATGGTAGCTGCAGGGTCGGTATGAATGATACTGCGAAAAGTTCAGCAAACCCGACTTTCGCGGGCCCTGAAAGACCTTCACTCCTCGTTGTCATAGGCAGCGAACAGGCCCGTGCCGTCCGAAGCAGCTGCCCTGCTGCTCTCCTTTTCTTCCGGCTCTTGCATGCGAGCCCTGATGGCATCCACGAAGTCTTTCTGACATCGGTTTGCAGTGCACAGCCGCGCGAGCCACGAGTTCTGCCGTATGGCCCGTGTAATAGCGGTTGCTTCCAGACAGGATGAACAAGATGCTCCGGAAAGCACTCTTGTCTTTCATAAGCCAAGTCCGGAATTCGATCGCTTTCACGCGCGAACAGTCTCAGCTTCCAGCCTGAGCGAGTCGCGCTGAATTTCCACCCGTCTGTTTTGAGCATCTGAATTTAGTAGAGGTGTAGATCTTACCTTAGGCAGAAACCAGCCATGCCGTCAGATGTCGCTTCGATAAGAGGATTTGTCATGAAAGAGGATTCAGCAGGGAAGTTGGTTAGCGCCTGCGACGAGCGGGTCAAAGCTTTGCCGAGCGGACTGGAAACGTGTGTAGTGTTGAGGCGTGTATTGAACGCGGACTTAAACGTTTGGAGGCTATAAAGTCGCTGCAGCCAAAGCTCAAAAAGCCTCAACTTCGCCAAACACAAGCATCCTACACCCGACTTGGCATGAAGAGCCAGCATAGTGAAGACCGAAGTTTTACCCCGCATCAGAGCCCCCGGAGATCATTGAACACAACCTTCGACTACCTTGAGTATTAAGTGTCCGCGACAGGTTTGACTACGTCCGCCTGGAAGAGTCCACCGGAGATGTGGCCCGAATCCGAGAGGTGGCTGGAACGCAATGCACCCCAAAGCAGAATAGCGGATAACACGCAGGCAACACCAGCACGCACCACCCATCACCCCCCCCCATATAGGTGAATACATAGACGCATACATACATACATACATACATACATACATACATACATAGATACATACCTACGTGCTTGCGCGCATGTGTATGTACATACTTACATGCATGCTGCATGCATACATACAAAGATAGATAAATACTGAAAGACTATATATACATTAGAATAATGCAACAAGCTAACAAATCGCTAAATGAACATAGACACAGAACTACACTGCCACTGCCACTGCCACTGCTGCTGCTGCTGCTGCTGCTGCTGCTGCTGCTACTGCTACTGCAACTGCTACTGCTACTGTTACTGCTGCTACTGCTGCTGCTGCTACTGCTACTGCTACTGCTACTGCTGCTGCTGCTGCTGCTGCTGCTGCTACTGCAACTACTACTACTACTACT